GGGTTAGCGCAGCCGCGGCTGTGAACGCCGGAGGTGACACGGCCTCTGCCTTCCCCAAGTAACGCGCCTGGTAGCGGCAACGAGCGCAGGAACGCCTCAGCACAAACTGGCAGATGGTGAGGTGGTAACGCAGCCCGCCTGCGATGCTCTGTGAAGGTGTCCTGATCCTCAAGAACCCGTGTCTCAGCGTAAGGCACGAGCGTGTGGTGTGTGGCCGCCTCTTGAAGCTCTCCGCCTGGTGCAGCTTGGCACTTGCCTTAGTGGAAAGCACAGCCTCAGCATAAGTCTTCTCCGAAGAAATAACTAGATTTACCATAATCTTAATCCCTCTTGTTTAATTAAATGATACTCTATTTTTCAGAACCAGATCTTGAATATCTCTTAAGAGGGAGAATGTGTGGCACTAAGCTGTTGCATTTGCAGGCATTTTTTAGCCCAAAATTCTTAATATACGCAAGAAAATTCACTAGCACTTCACTCCCCTCTTCCTCTGAAAAGTTAGGACAGAATAAAAACATCAGGAGAAAAGTAGCTACTCAGCAAAGTTCGTCTTCTACTGTGGGAGCCATTCCTTGGCCCTGCTAAATATTCGCAAGTGCTTTAAATTGTGTGACGGTGTGGTCATAGGGGGAAGAGCAAGCTTCATGTCAGGCCAGCGTTGGCTGTGATCCTGAAGGCTGCAAGCCAAAAGCGAAACCGGTCAGAGAAATCAGTTTCAGAAGCTGAGCTTCTCGGGTTTATCTGTTTCAATTGTTTCGTCTATGCAAAAGCCAACTCACTCAATTTATCTTGTCCATAATTTAGTTCACCTCCTTCCCTTTTACAATCCCCCCAAAATCTATTGTACAAGCAGCAGTTTAGCAACAGGAGGAAAGAACACTAAGAAGGAAGCCTAAATGTTATTTACTGTTTAGAAAATGTGGACAATTTAATTTGTGTGCCTGGACATGTTAAGTAAAATGCACCTTTGTTCACAGAATAGATAATTCAGGTCAAGAGAGAAGTGCACAGCCTGGCAAATAGAAACTGAAAAGCTGCTTTGTGCCTGCACGTGCTCGTGTCTAGATATGGCTGTTCACTAAGCTGAAATGCAGTCTGGTTTCAGAACAACTACTGTTTCAGCCATTTCTGTAATCTGTTTCAGTAAATAGGATGTGACTTGATCCAATGAGCGCTTAGACTAAGCTGCAAATGAGAAGTGAACACCACCAAGCACTTAGATCTAACACAAATGATCCCTTTTGCGCTTGCAGGCTGGTACATTTCTGCAAGCAAATCCACCAATGTAATCTAATAGAAAAATAACCCAGTTTTGTTATGTTCTGTTGCTTGGAACAGTTGACTTCTTGGCACAATGTTGGTCAAGTATGCTCTTCCACTGCGGTGGGACTACCACAGTCCATCGTTACCTGTGGTAATTCTATGGTACTGAGGGAAAGCTCAGACACAGCTGTGCAGAGTTAGGACAGCAGCATGCTTTTTATAAGGCTTGTTTGGATTCCTTCTTTCTCAATTTTGATTTGCAAAGTAAGAACATTCCACTTCCCTTTTTTGCACATTAGACTGTTCGGCAAGGTATAAAGTCCTCCCATGTCCAGTTCAAAGTTCCTCATCCTCACAAACCTGTAGAACATGTGGCCAAACTGCAGCTGACAGACAAGGCTAGTGCAGGAATTTTGGGTTTCGTTTATCATTTAGAAAACTTTTGACATCAGATGTGAATGCAAGAGAGTCCGTACTCCATGAGGACGTATTCAAGGTACCAAAAAATTAGATTCCAAAAACGAAACCTCAAAGTAGGTGTGTAGTAGCAAGTTTTTGTAACATCTCCAAATATCCATAATTAGCACTGGTCGATCTAATGACTTCACATCTTTCTGTAGAAAATTGAATTTAATTTCTCTCTATCCTGAAACATTTAAAACAACTGCACAACTTAAATTAATCACAGTAAACATACTCGAACCAGCAGTGCAGTAGTGCCATTTCTTAAGCTCTTCGTATTCCCTAAAAAGATGAAACCCTCTGTTCTTCAGTAACATAAACAGTTGTCTTACTAAGATTGTTGTAACAGTGTAGGTACACTTAGGTGTAATAGCATGCAGGTGAAATAAATTGCAAATTAAAGATTCCTGATACAAACATTGCCTGTCATCTATTTTAAAGCTCAAAGTTGATTTGTTCATTAAAACACTATGCTAAGCGTGCCTTGTTTATTTGGAAAAATCTCATAAACTGTTGCTATCCTTCACAGCTGGGAAGGATCACACTACGGCGTTTCTAATCAAGGATTTATTTGCCTTTTTCTAATTTGGGTGGCAGAGGCAAACAGAATTTGACCTGAAGTAAGCACAGCTCAGCTTTAATCTAAGGATGTCACTAGTGGCAACTCATTTTCATGTTATTATTGGACCTTGGAGGATCATTTAACATTTACCACTTTCATTGAAAGTGCTGTATTTGTTGAAGCAGTCATTTAAACACAAGGTCATATAAACTTGACACTAATTCATTCCTGCTTTTAAGTGACTTACTATTTAATGCTGTGATTATTTAGATATTCTCATGTTAATGCAGTGCTTGGGAACACCTGTTTGTTTCCATTAAAACATCAGTTCCAACCTCTGTGTAATGAGCATTAGGCACAAAGGATGTACTGGCTCATTCTGTGCACCTCCCTGCGCTGCACCTCCTACCAATGCAGAATTATTTCTCAACTGACGACACAGATTTCAAGTGATTCAAATATTGATTTCCTAGAAAAATTATGGAATAGTCTAATATCTAATATCTGATGTGGTTCCATTATTTCTTTTACTCCTTTGCCTCTAATTCTTTACTTGGCATTTACTATTTTTGCATGTTAATTCTTTCAGAAGCAAACTATTCAACTTAAGTCATATTACTCTATTTTTGTATTCCTATCCTGTCCATCTGGAAGATGCAATACAAATGTATGCAAAGAGAAAATTGCCTTGCCAGCTTGTAATCTGGTGTGTTTGTTAGTAGGTCAAATAAATTTTTTATTAGTGAAACGAGCTTACTAAAGCCAAACAGTTTTACGCTTGCAGGATTACTGTGAACAAAAAGCATTGATAAACAATGATTCACTAAATCATCAAAAATTAATCTTGACTTACATGGTCATATTTTTAATAGTTGGGATCAATACACTGTGTACTACCAATTGTCAATATTTTGCCACTAGTTGGAAGGGATTGTTCCAAGAGTGGTTTTGCTTGCCAAATGCAAACATGCCACTTCTGCCCTTTGATTGCTCTTGGTATTTCACTGAGAATCTGTAATTTCTGTCACTGCAGATGCCAAATGCTACAGTTAAAGCGTGGGTTAGGTTCTTGCAGCCAAGAGAGAAACTTGGTGACAGTGTATAAACTGATGAAGCACCATAACTGGTGAAGTGCTACAGAATGGAACTGGACAGGTATTTAAGAGCCTTAAACAGCAATTAGGCTCTTTCAAAAGTTTCATAAGGCTACTAAGTGTTAACTGCCACTGATTAATATAAATTATACTTTTCTGCTACAAAACAGAAAAAAAAAATGAAATCCTTGTTTTTCTCTTATAATCTGCTGCATATGAAGAATATGCAGCTTAACTGAATGATTATTAGAAAATTACTTGTTTGCAGGAATTCCAGTAAGAACAACTCTTGATAACTCTACAACAGTCCAGTATGCAGGTGATCTTCATCAGCTCACCATGAAACCTAGGAGCACAGTGAGAGATATTGATCCTCAGAATGATCTAACCTTTCTTAGGATCACATCAAAGAAACACAAAATTCTGGTAGCTCCAGGTAATATTTCTATTAAAATAATAATAGAACTGTATGTCCTTTTAAGCATCTTTTAATTCTTCACAAACAAGGCTACTGTAGAAAATGCATTTTGAAAATAAGTATATAAAAATATAACCATATATTCACCATGTAACCAGATGTGTTAGGATTTTAACGTACAGAGTTTACAGCATTCAAGCTTGGAGGCAACCAAACAAGTCTAGATCTGATTAATGTTCTGGTTTCTGTGGGTTTTCACAAAGGAAAACTGGACAAATATATATCAAGTAGTGTGTGTGTGTGTGTGTGTAGTATTAGAGGCAGAAAAACTATTTTAGCTCCAAACAGACGCAAAAATATTTTTTTTTTCAAAAAATTATTTTTTACTTGGTATGTTATCGTGACTTCTTAGCCATAGGTGGGATTTGTGTCACAGGTATGCGATATTATCACCAACATAGTAACTGTGATGTAATTATTTTCCTTAAAACAACCAAGGGAACATAGCAACCTGTTTTTCACTCATGTTAAATACAAATACATGTTCATTTGTTAGTTGTGTCTCTAAAACAGATAACAAGGCTAGATAAACTGGTGAATTGGTGGTCAATTACCTGTACAAGGTGAATCGGTACAAGGTGAATCAGCCCAAGTGGCAGCACTTGGCTGGAGCTGAGATCCTAATGTGTGCTCTAGCTAACTGAGAGGCTAACGGGATGCAGGACGCTGACAGCAATACCCGCTGCAGGCACACGGAGCAGAAAGGAAGCTTCAGGGACATCCTCAGCATAGGCACTGGGGAGGACGCTGGCTGTGCGCTTCTGGTGCTGGCCAGCCTTTGCTGGGGTAGTCTCCTGATGCTGCTTTCATAGCCGATGCAGAGCAGAGGTACTGCACTAGGTATGCATTGCCTCGCCTCGCGGGAATTATTTATCACACCGCTATGAAACCAGTGTGTGTGAAAGAAATCTGGCACTGTCATTAAGTGTTGATGTTAGTCATCAGCTGATAGCAAAATTACAATTTTAGTTTAGTTTCTATTTTGGAGTATAAACCTAATGCATTTTTTAAATCGTGGGTTTTGCTCAATGATCTAAACTGATGCACTTGATTTTTATTTGGCATTTGCCCTTCACTTAGTTTTTAGAGGTGACTTTCTGACTAGTAACTATTAAAGCATGTTGACCTGAAGTGATATAAAATGTGAAGCTTTTTTGCTAACAGGGAGATTAGTTGTTCAAAGGCTTGATTGTATTTTACTATACTAGAAGGTGGCAAATGAACCACCTGTGATTCATATTAAGTTGCTTTGGGATGAAGGTGACAGTGCAGGAGTGCAGCTTCTTAACTCTCCAGAGCAGGTACAGCCCTACTAAATTCACTGGATACTTTCAAGAAATGTTTCATTTAAAATAAATAATGTTAAATAGCTATCCAACTGAATTGTTTCCAAAACTTCCCCGGGCTTTTAGAATTTGTAGGCGAAGTCTGGCATGCTTAGAATTTATTCATAGTAAAAGTCTATTCAAATCTTTCCTGCTTTTTTCACGTCTAAATGGGGTTCTCAATTTTGAATAAACTATCTAATGAACTGAAAAAAGTTCTCTGCACCTGCAGAAAAGGCTGCAGATGTCAAAAGTTTTTTTATTATAACAAGTGCTAGTTTCCAGGTGCTTATGACTTTTTTCATCTTGTTTAAATATCTTTGCAGCTTCTTGAAAGCAAATCTACTACTTACTAAAATATTTTTAATATGGTATAGTTAAGCTTTATGACACAGATTTTTTTTTTATCTGTAATCTCAGATTTTTGTATAAAGTGCTTACATTTTCCAAATGTTTTTTATATAAATGCCATTGCTTTTGCTTATGTTTTATCAACAAATAAAAAGTTGGAGAGGAATAGATGAATAAAGAGTATTTATCAGGAAATAAGATAAAATATTTCAAGTAAACATTTTTATATCTTTTTGCAGATAAATACTATCTCCCGATCATTATTCAGAACCCATGCAAATAGTCCTACTGTGGCAATAATTTTAGAGACAGTGATGTAGTTCTACTTGTTAAACTAATATTACTTGTTGATATTTAATATCAAACATAGCACTAAGTAATTTCACATAAAGCGTAACTGTCATGGCTGAAATGTTGCCGATTTAGAGTTCTCAGTTGTAGCTGTATCAGTTTGTGTTTGAGCAAATCAAAATATTGTATGTTTATCTTGGTACTCAGAAGAGCTGTAATAAAGCAAAATGCTTAAAACTCTTTTTAATGGCTGTTCCAGCTCTTCTTGCAATTAAATCATTCTCTTTACATTTCTAACGTTATGTTGGAGGAGAAGTCATGCCTCATGGGAAGCTGTAGATCATGTGTATGCGTACATGTATAAATGCGTCCCTATGAACCAGAGTAACTGCAGTTACACAAACCAGCAGATACAACTGTAATTCATGTCAGTAATGATTGACCGGATATTGCCCTGTCTTTAACTCCTGGTTTTTAAGTTTTCTAAGGGAAGAAAAGTAAAGAAAAACTGTCTTTTATTTTCCAATTTCGATGGACAGAAACAATAGCTTCGTTTAATATTTTCAGTACTGAGAATTTCAAGCAAAGTTGAGCCTGCGCTCTGAAGTAGAACTACTGTTAGTTTGTTGGTAAACAGTGGCGTAACTAAACCAAAACATATGATAACTTTTTAAGCCTTGAGATGTAATACACAAGCTATACCCCCTAGTGACACGGGACAAAGGGTGGCTTTAAAGCTCAGAACGTTTCCCAAACCAGATCCGTGTTTATACAGCAGCACCGGAGATCAGACACATATTGTCGAGAGCCTGTGTGCCAGCTGCACTGACAGCAGGCGGCTGTGGGGTTAGGCTACCTACAGACCCCCAATGTTGGGAAGACAGGCTGTGCCTGCGCCCAGCCTGTGCCCCTCGCCATACAGAGGTGGGTGCAGCACCCTGCTCTGCCCGCACCGTATGCACCCAGGGCTGAGGGTGGGCACAGCTACCAGCCTTCCACCCTCGGCACCCTACAGCCACGCTGAGCTCGGCACTTGAGAATACGCTGAGACAGTGTGAGAGTGCAGCAAGTTAGAGCTGACCCTGTGCTTGAAAAAATATCCAGTCATACCTGTGCTACAAATCATCTCAAGTTATGTAGATTATATGTAAATTTTATCAATTACACTTTAGAACTTGAGATTGTCTTCAGTTGGTCACAAGAAGGCTCTTTTTTTTTCCCTAGATATAGGAAGGAAAGAACAACAAATGTGTGGGGTGGCTCTGAGGTTGAAAGGAAAAATGAAGCTGTTGAATACTGCTCAGGGATCTTCGCAGTACATCGGAAGAATTGTGGCTGAGGTTATGAAACTGATAAATCACCAAATGTCTTGGATATGGAGTCAGCAATTTGCTGTTAGGACTATGTTACGTACCGCTCAAAACTTAAACAAAGGGGAGTATCAAAGCCTGGTGGTATTTTTTTCAAATCTGTTTGCTCTGCCTTTGCTGAATAGCTTGCAAAGGCTGTATTTCACGGAAAAATGTGGGAGGGCTGGTCCTGCTCCAGGGAGCGGCAGCAGCCCAGCGATGCGATCTGGAAGGCTGGCAGGCAGACTCCAGGCCCAAGCAGGGGCGGTGGGGACCGCGGCAGATGCAGTGCCGCTGCGCACGGAGAGGATGGAACCCAAAGGCCCAGAGGCTCAGTGCGATGGAAGTGAAGCACAGCCGGCCGGCCGGGCAGGGCTGTTCAAAACTTTAAGGATATAAAAATCAACGGGACACTATTGGTGGCACTTACTGTAGTCAGGGCTGTGCCAGAAGAATTTCCTTACCACTGGAGGGTATTTTAGCTGTGCACTGGAAAACAAGTGTTTTAAGTTGTTTGTAATGAACCAATATATTGATGTGTGTCAATGCTTTAAAAAAAAATAAGTTTTTATTTGTTATCTTCTCTGCTGCCGTTGCAATAATTTTAAAAATCCAACTTATTTATTGCTATATATTAATGAGCATTTATTCTACTAATATCCTGCCACATCAAACACCTACCAATTCAAAGCCCAGATTTTTCACTTCAGCACCTACCCAAAAGTGTTGCTGAATTCCAGCTACTATTAATGTGTATTTGGGACTAATAGTTTTGTTTCCATAGTTTTCTCTAACAGCATTAAATTCTATGGAGGTTTCACTGTGTATGTCCAGAAAAGTGCCAGAATTACAGTCCCTGTTACACTTTTCTATTGTCAAAAATAATGTTGGTGTTGCAATTTCCAGCATCATTGAAAAATGTCCTTCATCCCAAAGAACACAGTAGTGCATTGCAAAGAGAAAAGCTTAGTGTCTGGCAATGTTCTTTCAGTTTTGTCTTTCTAATGCATGTGTTAGTTCCCTTTACAGACTTTAATCCAATATTTATTAAGCAGCTGATGATTGCCATAGCTTGATAAAGCACTCAAAAAGACACTTAAGCCAAATCATTAAAATTAAACACATGCTAAATCATTTTGCTGAAAAGTGTTTTTATGTGGAAAAATGGCTTTAAGCAGATGCGTGTAGTTCTCCAAGGGTCAAATACTGCTCACAAATTAGTTTCCTTCCCTGTTCCTATGAGAGGCATAGATGCAGATAAGAGGGCAAAGTTTGGTCCATTTATAATGATGTGCACAGTAACAAGCGTTGCACAAACACACAGGCTGAGCTGTGCTTCTGCCAGCTGCTCTTCCCGGGGCAGTCTCTAATCGGGTTTCCTTGAAAGCACTGCAGGATTATACAATTTTGGCAACATCTTCACTAGGGAGCATAAATTGAAATACTCCATTTCATTCCCTGGTAATTTGTTCCTATTATCTGTTAGCAAAAGCAAGCTGAACACGTGTAAACTTTTCATTTAGGTCTTTCAGTAGGAAATGGAAGTAGCAATAGTGAAGTCTCTAACAGTCGTGGAAATCCCTCGTCAGCATGTTGATCTGAACACAGGTGGGCCGCTGAAAAGGAACGGAGTCGTCCGGACAAAATACAGGGAAATACATTTTGAAGTTTGTCCTGGGTTTGGCCAGAACAGGGTTAATTTTCACCGGAATGCAGGAAGGGGCACAGCCGGGGGGTGGGGGCTGACCCCACCTGGCCAAACAGAGCCCGGTATTCCATACCATGTGACGTCACGCTGGGTTCCAGTGGGGGGG